TACGAGTGAGTGCGATGGCCTCACTTGTGGTACGGTCGTTAGTACGACTGCACAAAACCTTAGTGTACCAAACAGTTACACTTCGGAGCAAAGTTCCGGCGGCTGTGAGGAAACACAGGCTGCGCCGAAGGTCCACCACTCGAATAAGTCGGGTGGACTGGGACAAAGATGTATCCCTAGAGGGGAACATCTAGAAGAGAAACAATCGATCGCTCAGGTTAAGCGAAACGATAATCCTAGATCGACTGGAGAGTCTTTCGTAGAGGATCTCGCTGTGGTTGCGCAACCCCAGCTAGAGGAAGTAAAGGGAATAAGTCCCAAGATTACAAATACGGCGGAAATAAGTTCCCCGAAACCCGCGGGAATAAGTCCCCGGGAAGACGAAGGAATAAGTCCTTCGAAGCCTGAGGGAATAAGTCCCCAGGAAATGACAGAGACATTGAATGTCATAGTCAATAACGGATCATGTGTAGGCGCTTATACACTTGATCTGATTGCGCCTCCGAAGTTAACTTCGGAGATCACTCAGTTGCCAACGCTCGAACATAAAAGATTCTTGCGTGATCTGCGTAGTGGCAAAGTCAAGCAGATCTGCATACTCGTCGCTGACGACGAGTATGTAACCGACATAAGGTCAGCAACAGTGTTTACTGAGAACGAGAGAGTTCTCAGTAGTTCATCTATGGACGAGAGTGTCCTAGATGAAAAGACACGAATTGAGCGATATGAGTCCCAATCGTGGGAATCGCTCAAGGAAAATCCTCTCTATGAAGATTTGGTTGAATTCAAGGATGTATTCCCTGAAACTGTTCCGTGCGAATTACCGAAGGATAAAGGTATTCGACACGAAGTCGAGCTTAAACCAGGCTCGAAGTACTGTGTCATGAAGCAGTGGCCACTGCCTCGTGAACAAGTACTTGCGATCGACAAGTTCTTTGCCGATCGTTTAGCAGCGGGCCATGTGAGGGAATCAACTTCCCCACATAGCTCTCCGACCTTCTGTGTGCAGAAAAGCAACAGGAGGGTGGCGGATAGTGCATGCATTTAACAAATTGAACGCTGCAACGGTACCGGCTCAGACGCCGATACCGAGGAAGGAAGTAATCATTGATGGTATGTCAAAGAGTATCATCTTTTCTTCCATGGATTTGATGGATGGCTTCTATCAAATCCTAATGCGGGAACGGGATATACCCTATACCGCAGTTAGCACGCCTAGCGGCATGCTCTGGGAATGGCTAGTAATGCCACAAGGGCTCAGTAATGCCCCTGCCACGTTCAACAGGTGTGTATCACATCTGTTGAGGCCAGTACGAGAATTCGCGCCGAGTTATTTCGATGACGTATTCATCCATAGTCGAGCTATGGATGGAAAGTCGGACGTTGAGGTTCACAAGTACCACGTCCGACAAGTTCTTACAATCATGCGAAAGCATCAATTGTATGCAAACCTCAAGAAGTGTATATTTGCAGCAAGCGAAATACCACTTCTTGGGTGCATCGTTGGTAAGAACGGTGTACGTCCTGATCCCGAAAAGATCAAGGCGATCACCGACTGGCCCGTGCCGGTCGATGTCAAAGGTCTTCGAAAATTCCTTGGGCTAGCGGCGTATTTGCATAAGTATTCACGCAATTACGCCGAGATGACTGTACACCTCTCTCGTTTGTTGAAAAAGAACGAGAGGTGGTTATGGAACGCTGAATGTCAACGCTCCTTTGAGGGTATCAAGCAGAGCTTGATACAATCCCCAGTCCTAGCAATAGCCGATCAGGACAGGCCATTTCATGTGGTCTGTGATGCCAGCGATTTCGCAATCGGCTGTGCATTAATGCAGTACTATCTTGAAGGCGTTGAACGCGTCGTCTGCTATCAGTCGCGTCAGCTGCAACCAGCTGAGCGGAACTATCCAGTGCATGACAAGGAACTCCTTGCCATGAAGTATGCACTCGCGAAGTTCAGAGTCTATCTATTAGGAGATAGACCCTTCGTTGTTTACACTGACCATGCGTCCTTACGCACGGCAGTGAACAGCCCGCACCTTTCACAACGAATGGCGCGGTGGTTGTCATTCTTTGCAGAATACAACTTTACGGTCGAGTACAAACCAGGACGACTTAATGTCGTCGCTGATGCACTCTCACGTCGTCCCGACTTTGAAACAGTCGCGAAACCCAACAGTGAGACAGTCACTGTTGCGGTTATGACGTCCTCAGTTCCATCTACAACGTTGTATGATGATGTGAGGCGGGCATACGCCCAAGATGGTGAGATAGTGAAGTTGTTGTCACATCTCTCCCAACCATCTCGAGAATCGTTGAAACGATTGTCGTCTGCGTATCGATCTGCATCAGATCGATACACTACTCGTAACGGTTTACTGTACTATACAGCCGTTTCTGGTGACACACCACGTGTTGTCATTCCAGATGATATTGATCTGCGTTTGCGGATCATGTTCGAGTATCACGATGCTCCTATAGGAGGACATCGTGGCCGAGAGAAAACATATCTCACGGTAAGTCGAGACTTTTACTGGCCCCGCCAGTATCAGTTTGTGCGAAAGTATGTTCGCGCATGCGAAGTCTGCCAACGAGTGAAGTCAAGTCCTTCACTGCGTGCACCTTTACAGCCTCTACCGGTTCCGGCTGAGTGCTGGGAATCCATCTCAATGGATTTCGTCTTCGGGTTACCCAAAGACGCACGCGGGAATACGGGTATTCTCGTATTTGTTGACAGATTCAGCAAAATGGTACACCTTGTGGCTGTACCAGAGACAATCACGGCAAGTGGCTGTGCTTGTGTCTTTATTGACACCATCTTCCGACTTCATGGGTTGCCCCGTGAACTCGTATCAGACAGAGATCCACGATTCACTGCTGATTTCTGGCGTTCCGTGTTCAAATCACTCGGAACGCGCTTGAAGATGTCAACATCTGATCATCCAGAGTCAGATGGTCAGACGGAACGTGCCAATCGTGTCCTTGAAGAGATACTTCGAGGATACGTACACTCCTTTAAGAGTTGGAGTGAGTTTTTGCCGATGGTAGAGTTTGCCATCAACAACTCGGTGCATGCGTCCACGACACATACACCGTTTTACGTGAATGGCTTGCGCCATCCGCGTGTACCCACCTTACTAGAGTGTAACTCTGGTTTAAGGGGGGAGGGACTCGCGCGAGCAAAAACCGATTTGGTTCACGCTCATCACGCTCTGACGAAGAAGTCATTGCGTTTGATGCCGATATCGATAACATCGATATCGAAGAAGATGATGCCAGTGAGAGTGCGGAAGCCCTCACTGAAGACAATGATCCCAGTGAGAGTGCGGAAGCCCTCACTGAAGAAAAGGTTGTTGTCGCTGCAGTGCGCTCACAGCACACTGAAGCTAACGAGTCATCAGATGAGTTCATACTGGCTCGTGAAACGGTAGTCCGTTTTGTGCAAGACTCCATCGCCGAAGCGGTGGATAAGCAAAAGCAAAACGCTGACAAGAATGGAAGGGCAAACACTCTTTTATTTAATAAAGGTGACTTAGTCCTACTGTCTACGGTTAATCTACCAAAACATGTAGTGACTAACTTGGGTAGCAGTAAACTACTACCCAAGTACATTGGCCCATTTCGTGTATTGCACCGCCTAGGCAATGCATACACGATCGAGTTACCACGTAAGATGCGAACGCATCCCACGTTTTACGTTGGTCGGCTTAAGCCGTACCATCAGTACGCTGCTTCTTCCGATGAAGAACGCCCTTGCGCTCAAGCATCTCGCAGAGAGCCTTGTGCTCCCGATGGTGGGCATCGACAAGGGTCTGAAGAGCATTTATCTCAGCCCGAGACCGATCAACATTCCCACGAGCTACCCTTAGCTCGTCACGCAGAGACGACAGAGCTCTCTCATTCTCAAGCTGAGCAAAGGCAAACTCAGCTCGATGCTTCGAGACAGCGTCCGCCAGTTGGAGACGTCTGTCCCGCTCATGTTCAAGATCGCCGCGTAACCCTTGCGTTACGCGATCATAGAAGCTCTCGGGAGCACACCGATCCACATGATAGTTTGGAGAGCGTCTTCCCTCCTCCTCCATCTCCATTAGAAGGCCCCCGCGGTGGCCAGCGCTATCTGGTTGAGCAGCTGTTGAACCACCGCGACGTGAACGGACGTCGGACGAGATATCTCGTCTGGGGGCGCGGTATCCCCTGTCCTGGGATAATTGGGAGGCCCTCTCCCAACTGGTGGTTGACGTACTGGGTCTGGTTGAGCAGTACGATGCAGCACATCCTGTGCCGCAGAAGGACCGCCGGAGAAAGTCTTCCCGGCACGGTCGTAAAGGGATTTCAGGTTGTCAATCCCTTCGTACATCTCAGTAGAGACACGTACGCGCCACCACAGGCTGGTAAGGAGGTAAGCCTCCTTAGGTGCTCGTGCAGAGTTGTTCACACAACATGGGCACGAGTCTCCCCAAGAGAGGCAGGGTAATCCTTTCTCCCTTGACAGACGATGCAGCTTATAGCGTGCACCTGTCGGGGTTCGCTTTTCAAACTTATCACGAGCTTTGATAAGTTTGTCGTTCCAAGCGTCACGACCTACATCCTCGAGATTATGGATGTAGGCGTTCCACGCCTGAAGTAGTGAGGGACCATCACGTTTGTGATTCCCACTGTACCATCGATGTCTGAAGAAAGCATCGATGAAGAACTCATGTTCAGCGCGATAGTCTTTCGCACTGGGGTCAAGGTGATGGATCCTTGACGAATCGAACAATCGTGTTCGATAGCGATCACTTGTCGTCGCCGACAAGTGATCCATGACAGATTTGGGAGGCATCCATGCCTTCTTCTCGGGAGCGAGACGCAAGACATTGCGATCCCGCTCTTCCTGCGACGTGCCGACAGAAGTACTGGCACCTCGTTGCGAAGTGGTGTCCATAGGAGAACCGACACCACTGTTAGCGCCCGAGTCTCGCGACCTCGAGCGCCTTCGCTTCGGCGATGGTTCATCTGATTCAGTCAGATGAATCAAAGATGCTACGACGCATAGCATCATCCATGGCACACTTGGCAGACGGCTTGGTTTCGATCGCCGTCGATACGGATCCGTCTTCCGTATCAGGAGAGTATGAGACACCGAGCTCATACTCTGTGAAGACATGAGTGTCTTCATGACAAGCGCCTGCATCACTAAGTGACACAGGCTGGGTCGCTTCAGCTACCGATGAGACATCAGTTGCTGTGGTTTCTGCTTCGGCGTCCGCACAGAGACGTGCGGACGCGCTCTCGGCGGCCTTGCTCGCGCATCGCATGGGCTTGTTTACCATGCGATGAGATGTTGGAAAGTGGACGCGGACCAACAAGTGCAAACCCCGTCCCAAATGATTTGGGACGAGTATCCATTTAGTCAATCAGTCACTAAAGTGACTGATGGTTAAGGGGGGGGTGATGTAACGGGGTGAATCGTTACATAACAATTTATAAGAAATTGTTAATAGAATATAACTATAAGAGTTATATTCTCAGAATATTGTCATAAGGACAATATTCTGTAGCACTTCCAAGTAGTTCCTAATTGGTTGATATAGGCCATTATATCAACCAACGAAGACGCGCCACGACAGACGCACGCAATGAGTGGTGAGCAGATAGCTGATTTACACATTTGTATTTAGACATAGTTAGATGAAGATAAATAGTGATTTATTGCAGACATTAACTATTATAAATACAGTTCTACTTTTTACTCTAACCAAGTACTCGCTTCTTCTTACCGTCTTCCTCTGCACGTACGAGTGTACGTGAAGTTACGAGGCACCGCCTTATTCTGTTATCAGAATAAGTAGCTTGTACTGTCACCAGTACAAGCTTCAGGGTGCCCCGTTACAGATGAAGTTTTAAAACTTGCCAGTAAAACGTGGATCATGATTAAAGACAATTGCCACAGGCAAACCATTTTGTAAAAACACCCGGTAAAAAAACAGTTACGCTGTAAATCCACCGTCGATGAGATCAGACACATCCGCTGAATAAGTCATCTTGCTCAAATTGCCAACTAAGACCACGATACCAGTGTTGCCTACCGAATACTTCGATAAGACGTGTGCAAAGCCCAAAGTGATGGACTCCTAACGCTCAGGGGGTAAGGCAGCCTAGGTAGGAGTGCAATTGCATGTGATGAGGGTTTGACCCATTGACACGTTTTACATGCACGCACATTTGTGCTCACACATTTGTGTAACATAAACCACCAATAGGTCTGTCTCACTCTTATATGGATATTATCACGACCGAAATGACCGCTTAAACTAGTGTCATGTGCCACAAAGAGGATTTCGAAACCTTATGTCCTGATCATTAGAAACAACGATGCAAGGCACACCCTGAACACCCAATAACCCACCATCGATGACATATTTATGTTAGCTCGCACGTAAACGTGCCAAAAATTAGATTTCTGATTCTTAAAAATAATTTCTCTCAAGAGCATGCAGCAATGCTACACATTGCTCGTCACGTGCATATTTCGCACGAGTTAAATTCACAATGGGTGACGACAAAGTCGTTGCATGAGAAAGCTCATGAAAATGATCTGCGTGACAACGCACCAGCCAATATATTTTATTTGCCCAGTTTATACTTATCTTCAAAGTTTTAATTAGCTTTAAATGAAAGCTGACGGGCTAAACGCTGTGAGAGGTGAGGCGAATGTGTAGCAGTGAGTAACGACGCATGGTATATGATGATGACAAAAGACTTTAATCCATGTAGATGAAACATGAACATAACAAGAGCATATTTTATTGCGAGCAACTCTTTGTCGTGACCTGCATAGTTCTTCTCTGCAGCCTTTAGCTGACGAGATTCTCACGCAATGACGCGCCTATGCTCATCGACATCTTTCTGTAATAATGCAAAACCAAGTGAAAAATCAGACGTGCACAGACGACACTTAAAGGCCGCTCAGGATCCGGCAAAGTCAAAATTAAAGCATGCAAGAGACTGTCCTTAAAATTTTTAAATTGATTGATCATGATTTGTGTCCCAGCATCAAACTGCATCCTTCTCTAAAAGTTCGATCAATGGCCTTACCGTGTCAGCACAGTAAGAACTGTACTTGTACAATTAATTAGCTAGGCCGGGTCACTAACGCAAGTCCTATAGGGTTGACGGCACCGGCCAGTCAACAATTGACTAGAACTTAGCGGGATCCGCTCGAAGGCCACGCTTTCCAACGAAGCACCCGTAAAAGGGCTTTGTTTTGCACCAAAAAGTCATTTTGATGCATTGGCGTACAGCTTCTTTGTACGCATGCACACGAGCACGTTTCGTAAATGGCACTTAAGTTTTTTCACATATGAACTATCATTTTCAGCACGGCTGTGAAAAAGGTGTCCTCGAACATCTCTTTAAGATCTTAGTGAGGTCGAAACAACTGCGTCACAAAGTAATTAAATGTAGCCGGGGCATTAAACCGACCTAATTGAATGACAAGCCACTTCCAAAGCATACCGCTTGTAATCATAACCGCTTTAGGCGTAACATTACTCACTGGCATGATCAATTGATGATAGCCTTCGACCAAATCGAGTGCACTGAATTTAGTGCGACCTATAATAGCATTTTGAAGAATATCCTTTTTCTTGTTATAGGCGTCTGTGCCGGTAAAGTGGCAAAATTAAGATTATTGTAAGTATGCACAATGCGCCACTAGCCATTTGGCTTTTTGACACACAATGTTGGTGTCGAGTGCGGAGAATTTCTCTCACGCACTATGCCAGCCGCGGGCTTTGCACAAAACAACTCGCCAATAACGTCACACTGCTTCTTTGGTAGGGACCATTGCCGTGTCACACAGTATTTCGTTCCAAGATCCAGGTAAGTTCCACGACGCAGGCCTCGATCAGGAGGCAGAGTGGAAGGTAGATCGTAATGAACCATTTTTTTAAACTCCTTAATACAAGGGTATAACGGATCTGCAGTATCATTCAAGATCCTGGAGACCGAATTCGAGCACTCAGTGCCGCCTTTTTGTCTTTCAAGACAGCTTCGGTAGGCAGTGACGACGAGTTCAAATTACTATCGGATCCAAAGATCAAAACTTCAGATAAATCATCTGACTTCAAGGCCAGACCAAACTCGTCTACAGACATTTCGTCTATATTTAACAGAGCATTCAATGAGGGTAGAGCCTCCTAACTCGCTGTTTCATCGACGTCACCAGTCACTACATGGATGAGTGTAAAAAGCTGATTGCTCGTATCAGTCAGTGACGTAACACATGCCTCGCGTTGCATAGCATATATCCAGCGTCACTGTCGTCTATAAGTCAAAACTGAACGTTATAAAGAGACTTAAACCTACTCGTTTCAATTTTGATATCATCATCATCCTTAACTTTTGCTGTACAAGAGCTGGCGTCATGACTCTAAACCGGGACATCGATGTCTTCAAGGCTAACATGATCATCGACCTTGAGTTGCTCGTTAACAGAGCTTATATCATTACCAACATACGGTCCTAAACTGCCCCAAAGGTGACCACGAGCGTATACCTTACGTTGCTCATTATTCGAGCCGATGTCATTACCGATATCTGGGACAACATTGTCTTCAAGGTGAGAAACTACGTCAACCTTGAATTGATCTACATCAGATCCAGATTCACTACTGACATGTGGTGATGAGTCACTTCCAGTGATATCACCACCCAGTGGGTACTAATGTGCCACTCAACGCCCATCAATTATACGTCACTCTTGACTTATTTTCACCAAAATTGTCTTATTTGACATTCAGCGTTTCGCAATCGCGGCCAGCATCACTTGGTATTTACTAACATGCAACTCCACGCTCTTACAAAAAGTTCAACCCATGATGACTTGGCTCTAGGCGAACAAAGCGTTCAGCATTCACTGACTTGTTAAGAAAACAACAATCACTCGAAGGATGACATTCCGTTTCACTAACAGTCGACAAGCTTGGCTCGTAACTAACTTTTTTGACATTGTCCAGTTTTATGAGTTAAGCCATATTACTGTGCAGCACACTGGCTGTCTCCGTCCGTGGATCGCGCCAGTAGTGCTTGTTTTTACTAGCAGAGGTGGGCGGCATGACTCTACAAAGATTCCCTAGGAACAGTGCGCGTTACGCCTAAGATCTTCGACATCCAATTAATCCGATGCTCATGGCGTTCTAGCCAAGCCATACTAAGGATGAGGTCATACCTCTTATCGAAGTCATGGACCAGACAGTTTTTCGATAATGTTAAATCCTGAAAACTGAACACCTAAGTCACAAGAACTTTAGGCACACCGGTTGCCAAGCGCACAGTGATAGTCTCATTATTTCGCGCTTCCAGATACTTAGCATACTGCTGACATTTCCAGGGTCTTACGTTGGACGTAATTTCCAGATGCCCCGGACTTGATCAATATTGAGACCATGGCTATTCGAAGCCTTTTACCATTTCTTTCGCATCGAACAAGCCTGGCTTGTATTCATGCTTTGTGACATTGATTATGAAGCCACTTGGGGCTAGGCCCTATTCTCCCTCACCTCCCAGAGGTACAACAGAGCCTAAATCATCCCAAGCTGAGCGCCCCGCGCCTACTGGAACCTGACATTTTCCCGCTTCATACCGACTCTTGTTTGGCGACGGAAGAATAGCTCGAATAAGCCTGTATGATCTTTCTCAAAGCAAGATAGGGGCGGAGATGTTTGATGCTTCCACACGTAGAACACCTACGAACGTCCGAAAGCTGTTCGACGGCGTAAAGATCAATAGCTTTTTCATCTATCTTATCCAGACTGAGGACCATGGGTTCTGCTTGCTCGACGAGGTCGACTAAAAATCCATGAGTCTCAAAACGCGCATTTTGAAAAAAATCGAACTTTGCTTTAACACTATGTTCACTGCACTATCAAGTGTCGAGGGTTGTGCATAAAACACTTCTGTTCAAGCAACGCTCGTGCGAAGACCCTACATGACATTATTATTAAAATTGTCAAGGGTAAAGGGTAAAGCTGCATAGCAGCAACGAGAGTTTTCAACTTCCGAACATTATCGACTTTGCCCTTTTTACCCTGGCTGGTTGACAGAAAGCGCGATTGCACGCGATATGCCTGCCTAAGCGGAGCAAAAGCCCTAGATAGTTGCTGTATAGCATGTTCCAGGTGGAATAGCCTCGTTCATCGAGGTGCCAGAAGTGAAGGCCTACTCCTTGATTCGCCCACATAACTTTGATAGGGTCAGGTCCACCTTCTGCTGCTCTGACCGCAATGAGTCCGAGCTGGTGGCAACCTCCATCTCT